ACATGTATTCTGTGGGTTTGTATAGTTGGGATGTAAATATAGTCAAGACAATTTTACAAATTAACCAATTTATTTATGCCCATTTAGTACAACACTAAATATATATAATTATTTACGAGACAATTAATCAAATTATTTAAAGAAAAGATTTATAAATAATTGACACTAAATTGTATTGATTGACAAGGCAGTCGACTTAAATTTACACTTTGTAGTGTTTTGAGTCAAGACCGAAGTCTTTAGTTAATGTAAAGGCTTGAGCCTTATTTGTACTGACCAAAGTGGTGCAGCACCCAACTACTTGTCAATTTTTTTTTTTTTTTTTTTTGATGCGTTTATTTAAGGTCGCGCCGGAAAGCCCATATGGGCGACCGTACACTCAAAGTCGGGCCATCCTAGAGCGTCCCGCGAGATTTATCGTCGATTTTTTTTTCCAGCTTTAATTGCCTCCGGGCATTATTTCAGGCACCACGAGCGGGCACCTGGTAGAACCACCGACCTTCCGTAAGCCAGCTGGATGGCTTCCTCACATGAAAGAATCCGACCCGAGTGAGGATCGAACACTACTTGTCAATGTGTGTGTATTTGCGTTTATTTATACTCGCCACCGGTTGCCCATATGGGCGATCCCTCCAGAAGAGTATTAGTCATTTTATTTTTCGGAGGATAGTGCAATTACAGATACAGAAAGATGCCCCAGTTCCAGAAGTTTCTCCGGGTTCTTTAACGTGCCAAGTGTTTAAGCACTTATACACGGACCTCGATTTAAAGTCTCACCTGAAAGACTGATTAATACTTTTAGTTGACTAGCCTAGGAATCGAACCCACAATGTCGAGATTACAAGTCTCGCGCTCTAACCGATTGAGCTATGCGGGCTGGCTACTACTTGTCAATGGTAAAGTTCGGCCATTTATTCATTCGGCAGACAATAGAATTACAGTTGATTGGATAACAATTAGTAATAACAAATAGAACCCGATTCGTTAATTACTCTCAATATTGACCAATCAAATTAATTCTTTTATTTAACGCTTGGTAAGCGATGCAAAATGGATGCCTCCATGAAAGTAAACATGAGAACGAATTATAAAGTGATTTGTAGAAAAGTAAGTTAGTAAAAAGTCATCCTATTACATTAACATGATTATCTCTTTATTTCTTAAAACTATTTATTTCACAGAGTACTCTTTATTTGTTGTTAATACTATTTATTTCACACGTACAGTCGCGTCGGTGCGCATGGATTCATATACAGTACAGCTATTTTGAAAATATGATTAGATATGCTCCGCCCACTCGGATGGGGTACTAAAAGGGGGGAATACAAATTTATAAACATAAATCTAAACATTTTCAAACTTGTCAATGATTTATAAAATAAAAAATGAACTTACAGATAGATAGATAATGTTATAAAACATGAAGGGTCTGACACGAGTTTAGTGTTCCTATGTCATAAAATCAGATATAGAAAAATAAGTGAAAATGATTAAAAGACGAGTATACATGTACATGGCCAGCTTATTTTTTCTTTATTTTACTCTATTTTAAAATGAAATTGATGTATTGAAAACTGACACATGATAAATAAATAAATAAATAAATAAATAAATAAATAAATAAAAACAAATAAATTTTATGTAATCAATCATAAAATAAGTTTTGTTTGGTCGACCCTAATATTTATTATTATTCTCTTTTTGCTAATTTTTAATCTTTTCATCCCTTTTTATCTTATAGTTAGATTCAGCATCCGTATTTGGATCAGCCAATGTATGATCGGCTTATACAAATGTGTGCATCATTATCCAATAGAAATGTTCGTTTTAAATTTTCATTTTCCGGCGATTTTTCAAATAATTTTCCTAGAATTGTTTTTCTAAATACATAAATAAATAAATAAATAGATAGATAAAATAATTAGATAAAAAATAAACGTGTATATGAAAATCGTAAGCAAGCATTTTTTATTGACTTAGCTCAAGTTTTATTAACATGTGTACATGACAATGCGTCCATTTCACAAAGACAAAATTAGCACAAATTATCAACAACACGACTAAAGAATATAAGATGGAAAAATAAATTACAATACAATTTTTTTCTGGTTTTATTTAGAAATATACAGTATACAAAAATACGTCATACCAGATGAAATCATGAAAAGTATCACAGATAAGAGTAAATATTAAATTTTTAGAAAAAGTAAAGACATTAGCAATGCTTTATTTTATTTTTTTTTAAATAAATAACAGCAAAAATATATCTGCACGCAAAACTATTATTGTTTGCATGTACATGTATATACCGGTAGATGATGAAATATCGTGAAGAACGATCGTGTTGTGTTTGCAATTTTTACAAATATAGAATAACAATTATATAAGTTTACGATCTAACGGTTTAGTAAACTACAACTGGTTATATTTCGGCTCTTTCAACAACTTTAACACTGGAAATTCTGGTTATTTTAGAACATCTAACTGTGGCGAAAATAACATCAGTTGATTAGATTTTTTTCATAAAAGTATTCAAACAAAACACTTAAAAACATTTGCCTCAACCAAATCAAAAACATATGAAGTCGGAAAATAACTATACAGATATGGCACATTTTTTTACAATAGATCTATTTTCCTCAAAAACATACAACAAATTCATAGTGAATTAATATTGAACAAGACCAGTATGCAAAATGACATAAATTGTACTACTATAAAATATTAAAAAGGACAATTATGAAAATCTTCTTTTAAAGAATCAGGACTAGTTGGTTATGGAAACAATAGCTAGTAATTTATTGTTATGGAAGCTATAGATTACTGTTAAACTAACCCTACATTACAGTTTTAAGAAGAGCTGTCCGTATAAACAGCGTGCGAGACTATTCTCAGTGCTTGACAGTAAGACAGGGGCATAACTCTGTAAAACAATCTCAAGGGTTATAGAAGCTATACCCAGCATATTAGATATAAACAAAGATGTTAAACAAACCCTACATAAATGTTTTAACATGAGCTGTCCGTATAAACAGCGTGCTCGACTATTTTCAGTGATTGACAGTAAGACAGGGGCATAACTCTGTAAAACAATCTCAAGAGTTATAGAAACTGTACCCATCATATTAGATATAATCAAATGAAGAGAACAAGTGTGTGAAGTGTCAACCCATTACATTAAAATTGTTCTGAAGATACTAAATTGCAAAACAAAAATCTTAACCAAAGTGTGACTGTGGCTCCGATGACAGAGTATTGTAGCTCCTTCTTCTCTTCTATTAGCAAAATTGTTGAAACAAAAGGCAAATACAAATAAAAGTGTTAAAATTAAGGCTGTGTTTCTCAATGATAAAGATGATTTTATATATTTTAATAACCTTCTTAAAACAGTTATATTTTTTGTTGAAAATAGATCAATAAATTTGAACATAGATGTTCTTGCATAAAAATAGTTTTTAAGATGCTGTTCTTAGGACAGATACGTATAAAGTGATATTCATCATCTATGTCAATTGTATTGCGACAGAAACAATATCTCTGAGATTCACGAGATATATTATTCCTAGTAGCGTACCTCTTACGGCATGCACATTTAATCTTAATATACAAGAATAAGATATATTTTTACAAAACAAAGTATGTTTTATCAAGACAAATTTAACAATCAAAATGAAGTTTTTATGTAAACAATACAACACTGTCACACAAAACCCAAGGTAAACTGTCCGTAACTATACGTTAGCAATTTTGATTAATAGAATTAAAAGCGTCAACAAACAATAATTACACAGTCTTACATATAAAAATCAATTATCTACATCTATATCACAATGGAATGTATAATCTGAATACAGTTTGCATCAAAATTGACATGACACATACAGTGATCTGTACCCTATTGGTTTGTTTCGATGTCCCACATTGCTTTAAGCCAGGTTTTCACCTTTATATCGCAAACTGGACATCGCTGGTAGAATATGACACAGTGCTGACAGAACAACAGATGGCCGCATTCCAGGAATACAATGTCGCGTATGTGACTTAAACATATAAGGCATTTTTGCGCCGAGGGAAGTTGTTGAACAATCTCGGGTGGCAGATAGTTGTCGTCAAAATTTACATCTAAAATTCGAAAAAGGACTTTATAAACCGTGTTTAAAACGACCTAAATTTAAATTGTTAAATTTTTTCCATTGGCTTCCATTATGTTTGTGCGGATATGACTGAAGACTTTTTTTTGGTGTATTTAAAGTCACATACAATGATTTATACTCACACTTTATACCTTCAATGCATATTAAAAAGTACAAAAGATTAACATTTTGAGAAAGGTTCGAAATAAAAATCAGTAGAAAACTAAAGTAAACTCTTCCGGGGTTTCGAAGCGGAATAAATAAATAGGAAGAATACCATGTTCATATTCAGCTTCCTCATTTTCTGCACTTTGATCATCCAGATTGTCATCTTGGACTGCATCAGAGTCTTCATGGTGCTACATATAATGTAAAAATATTTATCATGAAGATTTTGAATAATGATTCGCCCACTTGTTTCAAACCGATACCAAAATGGAGATCCGCTGAAATTGCGACAAATATTTATTATGCCCTTTTATCAACGGTTCAAAGTGAGCTATTAGTATCAAAGGGGAATGCTCCGGCGTCAGAAGTCCGTCGTCGTGCGTCAACATTTAAATTCTCCTCTGAATCTGCTGGGCAAGTTTACCTCAAATTTGATCTGTAGCATCCTTGTGACAGTCACATTTTAATTTGCTCATATCATTTCAATTGGCCCCTTTAGGGATCAACAGAGCTTAAAATAAAAAAAAACCTTTAAACATCTTCTTCTACTGAAATAATTGATGGATGATCATCAAACCTTGTCTGTAGCATTCTTAGGTAGTCTTTTAACAAATTTGTTCATATTAATTTGATTGGCATCTTTTAGGGGCCGGTAAAGCAATAGAAAAAACCTTAAAACATCATCTCCTACTGAACTTATTGATGGATGATGACCTAACTTTGTCTGAAGCATTCTAATGTAGTCTTTTATCAAATTTGCTAATATTTACTTAATTGGCCTCTTTAAAGGTCTCTACAGCGAAAATAGAAAATCTTAAAAATCTTCTTCTACTGACCTAATTGATAGATGGTCACCAAACTTTGTCTGTAGCATTCTTAGGTAGTCTTTATTAAATTTGCTCATATTTATTTGATTGGCCTGACTTAAAAAATAGGAAACCTTGAAACATCGTCTTTTACTGAAGTTATTGATTGATGATCACCAAACTTTGACTGTAACATACTTGGATAGTCTTTTATAAAAAGGCTCCAGTATGAAAATGAAATTAGAAAGCGTGAGTTGACATGCTTTACTCGCCAGATGTACAGTAACAATGCATTTGGGCCATTTATGAAAGGTTGCTTTTTTATTATGAAGAATAAAAAAAAACAGTGCCGTGAAACTATATAACTAGAGGGGCAAGTTGAAGTTGAGCTGATTTTATCTTTGAAAAAATATTTGTTACACTGAAAAACAGTTGTTTCTGGTGGTCGGTTCAGGGCCATCGTGACCCTCTTGTTTTTTTAACTTGTCAAAATATTTTGTCATTGTGAGATATTTTTGTTCTGGGTCAGAATCTCACTTAAAGAGGGGAAATAATGCACAAAATTGCATAATATCTTTATGCTCTTGATCAACTCATTGTACAATTACATATCTAGTTAATCAACAGAAAAGTAGCCTTATATTTTGTTGTATGTAGAGAGGATACCACAATAGCACAATATCTTAGAGATGTACTATGCTTATACTTTGCAGAAATTTATTAAAAAGAAAAGCAGGTAAGATGTATAAAATGGATAGTAATAATAAAGAACATACATCTAATAATAAAATAACATACATGTACCTCCATTTCGAATTTGTGTCATATATATAATTTCGCTTATATCATACTGCTATCAAGACATGCACATGTAGAATATCATCTAATTATATTAAACTGTCGATTGTGAACACTATTTTTTACTCATTTTATAACTCCTTTCCATTAATATTAATCCGCGGCACGAGCTTCATGGGATACCGTACAAAATACAACGATGAAATCCGATAAAATACGGGAAATTATATATTTTTGTATTGGATAATATAAACCTCGGTACTCTCCGTAACCTAACGCTTTTTTACGAACATCTATTTTTATTATTTTATCTATTTATACAGACTATTCATTAGTTTCTATTTATAGCAGATAGTGTCGGTTTGAAATACATTTCGCCGTCTTACAACCATAATGATATAAGTCGTATTTTTACCATTTTGAGAAAATCGACTTCAAAGTTTTAATTAACAGGCTATATCTTTACACTTACTCAACCAATTTTAATATAAAATATATCTTAGTGTGCAGAATGATTTTAACTTTTACACTTTTAATTACAAAGAAGTTCCTTTAAATAGTTTTTTAAAAAATCAAAATAAAAAAATGAAAAATCACTGAAAACTATATTTTATTGACAAAAATACAAGAACCAGAATGCTGTAATAAGTTACAGCAATTCGACCCTAAAATATTTTTACATTTAGGAGTTACGACATTGTGAAATAATGACTATTTTACTGTTTTATACTGAAATTATATTAAATTTATACGTAACTAGAAATTGAATGCTTTAACGAATAGTCTGGATCCAAATTTATAGGCACCACAGAGCATGGAATGTGATCAGGATCTAAACAGTAAATTTAGTCTTAAAAGTCAATAATAGAAATCAAGACAATGCGGTGAAGGGTGAATAGCCACGAACAGGTATTTTAAGGTTGAAATTGAACTCGGGCTTCATTATCTTATGACCATTTACATGAAATAGTGAGCCTTGCAAATGAACAAAAAACAAAAACAAAATATTACAATATTACTGATTTTGTAAATGTATCACATTGAGTAAAAAAAAACGAAAACAAAATTCAGAAACATCGTCATTGTATTGATATTTACCACATTAAATAGCAAAACTTTTATCATATGATATGCTATTTTCACATTAAGATTGTGCACTATAAGATAATTGGAATTCAGATTTACTTTAGATTTCGTTTATTATATCATTAATTCATTCCAAATTCAATTTTGAATACATGTAGCTTGCAGACAAACAGAATGTTGCACGCAATTTGACTTACAAAACACACAGAAATGTTTGAAAGATATAACTGCTTAAACTTTGAAAAGCAACATCAACAAAGGGATCCTTTCTCTGTAACATAAAAAAGAATAAACCTATGTATTTTACTTTTCTAATAACAGCATTACTTAATGTTTTGTTTTCAAAAAAAAGAAGAAAAATATGAAACGCAACTAAAAGCTCACAAATTTTCAAAGATGCTACAGATCTGGATACGGTGTTTCAATGAACTACTGTACTTTAATTACTTCAACAAACGTTTGATGAAACAAATATGACAATTTAAAGATTCCTTAATCTTTTAATATGGTCTTTAGACTTTGTAACATTTCTTCACAAAATAATTTTTTCTACATTTCAAACGAATGAAAAAAATTTAACCAAGCATATTTTTTTTCTTTTAAAATAATAGTTTTGGTAATGGATAATTTTCAGTTAAAAGGTTCAAATCACTTGATAATTACAGGTAGTATTACCTTACGAGTTGGAAGTAGATGTACTAGAATTATTTTTTAACTTAGAAACTTAGATTAATTTTGCTTTGCATGTTCCAATTACATAATTTTAGCATAAGACTGAAAATGATTATGTTGACAAATTAAGCAAAATAGCTGAGTAGGTCAACAGGGTGGCATTCTGTTTAATTAGTATTGTGTTGTGCAAATGACGTCTCTTATTCAACGCTAAATGGTGCATCTGAGACAACTCTCAGCTTTTAAAGGACTGAACACTTCTGCCATTTTAAAAGCGTTTTGTCTTTCTTTCAATATGACAGTGGCTATTGTTAACCTCTTTGGATTGCATAATGCCTTTGACAGCAAAACTTTTGATATTTTTGTGATCGTTATATGAAATTGCAGAATTACGAAATTATGAAAATTATGAAATCATGAATTATGAAATAAACATGAAGTAAACACCACCTAATTTAACATCAGTTATGAGTGGTAGAGTTATGTGTAATTTTTATTCGTATCACTTAGCACCAGTACGGTAATTTGTCTTATATAGTTAAAGAAAAACATTGTACAAAATGTAACAATGGCAGTAGTATGTTTCCCATTTGATGACTTCTGTTTGTAAGTTAAAAGTATAAATACAATATCTCCACAATCTTATGCAAAACCTGATTGTACGTATTTAATCTGAATATGTACAAGGTAACATTGATCAATAAAAATATAATCTTATAAAGATCTTAAGAAAAATAAAAAATATTCAATTAATTATTAACATGGTATGTGCAATTAATGACTGATTTTGCTACATCAATCACTATAATTCTATTGCATTACTTAAGCAGTAAAAGATATTTATGTATACATTTGTATTATGACTTCATTTTGGTAATTTACGTGAATGGTAATTAAGTGCCGTTTGTAATGTGTAAATTACTTTCTTTGTTCACATCACAATATTTTACTTTTGGATACATTTTCAAAATTTTAATGAAAATTAGCATGAATCTGGAGGCATGATGCTTTAACCAACAAATACAATCTATGTTATAATATTTAATCAGATGACAGCAAAACATTTTTTCCTAAGAAATTTAATTATAAATTCTGTTTGGTCTGATTTCAATATAAATTATTATATAATATACATATTTCACCTATCAAATAAGAATGCTGAAAGGGAAATAGAACCACAGTATCTTTAAAATTTACTTTCACACCTTATTTCATACAATAACCTTATAATAACAGTTTTTGACACCTTGTTAAATCAAATGTCATGCCCAAGAGCATTCAAGCAGATAATAACAACAAAATATGTGATCTTGGAAGGTGTTGACTTTAAAATCAGTGGTCTGAATAGTGAGTTCAAATAAAGAATAAATCAATGAATTGGAACTGAATATGATGGTCTTAAAAGTGTATAACCGGGGTTGTCTAAATTCTGGAGCATATACTATTGACATAAAGAATAGAAAATTCTGTTCTTTAAAAAAATGGTCTAAATAGCGGGGTGGTCTTAAATCTGAGTTGGTCTTAAGTAGGGATTCTACTGTATTACAAATATATAACCTCCTTTGCGTAAGAAATATCAATATATTTTTTCTTATCTTCTTGACACACCATTCAGGCCATCCAGACACCCCTTGTTTTAGCTTTAAGAAAGTATTTACGTACTCGGTGAATTAATAAACCATCAGTCTCACTATGTGGATCATACTGAGAAATTGGATTAAAATGTAACCTCGTACATTGCTTTGATTTGATAAAATTATGTGTACAGTTATTTTTGGACCTCGTCTGTTAACCAAGTCCCTTTGATAGAAGTGAACCTCCAGCAAAAAGGGCAAAAAAATGAACGCAGCAAGAAAATATTGAGGAAAACGAAGGCTATTTGAATCTTTGGAGAGTTCTATTGGTAATTTAACAAATTGTATGAGGGGAAGAAGACGCAGACGACACCACGGAATTCGTAGATGAACGTACATAGCCATTCAAAGAGAGGCAGTTTTCGACAAATATCAAGCATTGCTTGAATTTTATTGGATGTCTTTAATGGCCAATGCGACTCACCTTTTCTTTGTGGAACAAACTAATAATCTGCCATTTTGCCGACTGCAGTGAAACAGGTTTCGAAGAAAAATAAAAAGAACTTCGAGGACTTATTTGACACGGAGAACTCGAAGGAAGAAAGTGATGATGATTATGATGATGTTGTTGTAGATGATGACAGTGATAATGATGAATAAATTAACATTCAATTGAATTGTCAATCATTGATCATATTTACATAGCGTAGTCAACATGGCAGCGTGGGAGGAATATTTAAAGATAATATACTGCGACCTGCCGAAAGGAGGTAGTTTCTTTGGTCCTCGGAAATTATATAATGTGGTGAAAAGTCAAGGACAATTTGACATAAGAATGCACAAAATAAGAAAGTTCCTTCATACCCTATTGTTGTGTATACATTTTAGATGGTATTTTTAGTTTCTTGTATTTGGCCTTTTCCAACTTTGGTGGTTCCAGTATTCGTACTTGAGTACTGTATAATCACCCTTAGGATATGTTGCCTGCTTTTTAAATTTGTCTTTTGACATCTTGTCTGTGAAATGCAGGCTTCATAATATCAGATCCCCTTTCAAAATTCCATTTTATTTAGTTCCGCCCATTGTATTCTCGTTAAGGTCACAAACATTCTTTTACTTAGGGACCATACGCCGCTTTTCGTGGAATGAAACTACCGTGTCACGTTGAAGGTTCCATGATAACCACCGTATGAACACATCTCCGGGTGTTTCTCAATTCAAAATTTCACAATTTTTGTGTTTAAATGTTGAATTCTGCTTGAGCCGGTGCTAGAGGGCGTTGACGGTAACTTGCACTTTCCAGTACCATCCATGAACAGGCTTAATAAAACCGAGCCTGCATCATTTTACAATTTTGCCGTGTTGGGCTTTCTTTAGGGATTCCGTTCTTCTCTTTTTTACAGTCTACATAAGCCTATCAGAAGACGATTTAAGATGAATCACGTGGTCAGTTGCAGGATAGATAAATTAATTTGTGGATTTGACAAGATTCCTGAAGTGGAATTCAGGATACAAGTACATCATGCTTGTGATAGATACATTCTCCAGTGTCGTGTGGTTACACCCTTATAAACCAAAGACGATTTCAACAAAAACTGATTACTGATAAAGGTAGAGTTTTGACATGTAATCTTATTTTAAACTTGTTCTTGGTAAACATTAAAAATTCAAACTAAAAAACGTTTTTT